GTCGCTGCTCGCCAGGGCCACATGACTGAACACTATCAATTACAAGGATAACAAATTCAGGGAGGTTGCATGTGTTGGCACGGTAACGGCACGGCGTTCCTCATGGAACCACCCTCCCCCCTCTGACATTTCCTGAGTCAGTCAGGTTTTCCAGCTCCGTTCCTCTGATCCTGCTCCTTTCTTTCTCATATGGTCTCAATTCATCTGGCTCTGTTTTCGAGAACTTACTGAATGGATCTGACAGCCCCCCCACCCCCCGCTGCTCTACTGTTACACCGTCGGCAGCAACTGACGCCTTTCTGTAAACAGATTGATGTAAGGCAGCTTCAGTTCATCTTTACCCCCCGGGTCAGCCTGACCTCATATCTGCTGATCATCAGTGGCTGTTGACGTTAAATAGACGGTAATTAATAAAGAGTGAAGGGATGCTTTTATGTATGATTTATCTTTTATCAGACGTTAAAGATGCAGGTTTATTGTTTTGCAAATGCTGGTGCATTAAAAAAAAAAAGGTTTAGTCTGATTGTTTGGCACTTTGAATGTGTTCGGGCGACTCTGTTGAGCTAAGACCGGGAGTGGTAGTAGCTGAGAGTGGTTCTGATGTAACACCTTGAGCACTGTGTCATGAGAAGCAGCTGGTGAGTCGCATTTCTTCAAGGAATTCTAGTTCCGGCTTTAAACGGGTCACACCTTCTACGGGCAGAGTTCTCCCAGCTGTGGTTGTTGTACGTCCATCACAACAGAACTCTGTTTTCACAAACTGCTGTAATGTTCTGCAGCAGATTACTGGTAACCAGTCAGTGCTTTCAAAAGCCTTGATGCTCTGCTGGTGAGAGGAACAAACAACAGAACATGCATTTTATCATCTGTGGGCTCTGTTTTTAAAACACAAGTCCAAAGGTCACCTCTGAGCATCGACGTCGTCAAAGTATCCTGAAGGCGCTGCTGCGTGAAGTTTCACGTTTGTTTGCTCACGGTTCTTTTCTTTCACTCTGTGGGTTCAGGCGTCCTGAAAGTTTGTTTAAACGTTCAGTTTTAGATTGAAAACAGAACGCTCTCGACATTTTTCTGTCAGATTGAAGATAATTCAGTTCTCCGTGGCTCCAGAGGCCCTGCTCCTCCTACAGAAGAAACTTTTTATATCCCCGGACTTTCAGAATTAAGTTTGCAGATGTTGAAAACCGCGACACATGTTTACTCAGCGCGTCACGTCAGGATGATCCTGTTTCACTCCAGAGGAGTTCTGTCGACAAGTTCAATAACTTTTCATGAAGCTGACTAGAAGAATGACAGGTGTTCCTCAGACATCTGCTCCTCTCTCACCTTGTTTGTTTTACAACAAGTCTACCATCCAGCATCCTTCACAATAAAAGCGCTCCTGCCTCACATCTGAAGCAATCATCAGAAAGCAGCAGACATGAGGCTCCAGGCATCCGCTCCAAACCTGCAACAATCAGGGCAACGCTAAAGAATTCAAATAAATTGTTACATTCCACACAAACCTTTCACACTGAAGTGCCGTGTGAGTTGTTAGAGGAAGTGATGGGGCTGAGGTGTGGCGGCCATTTTAAACTGGCTTTACTCCAAGCTGCACAGCCTGTGAGCGCTTTCTGCAGGTTTCATTCAAATCCATGACATCATTTGCAAACACACAGATAAACACCCTCAGACAGCTGTGTGTTAAAGTCAGTTAAGAGTTTTTATTTAAATATAAACCACATCAGAGCCCTGATGGAGCACCAACCGTCCAGCCGTGGTTCTTTTAGGAACAAACCAGTGGTTATCTTGCAGAATTCACTGATCATTAATTATCCTGATCGTGTAAAAATAGTTCAGGCTCGGTGTCCACAAACACTAAAGATGGACGCCCTGTACAGCTGCCACGAAGTCCAAAAGTCTTCCTCGAGGATATTCCTTGCCGAGTGGACTGTAATCTGTTTACACGTCTCTGCTTTGGTCCTTGAACGTCTGCACCCGAGCCGCCTCGCTGTGTTTGCACACAGCTCTGCAGGCTGGTGTCTCCACCCCCCACGCGTCCTTTAACACGGAGGAGCCGGTGTTTGTGATGTAAATAAAGTCACCTGAGCCGACATTCAAATGTATTTGCATCTGAATGTGTGTCAGTGGGCCGCAGGTTGGAGCTGCTGCTGGTGGTGGTGGTTGAAGAAGATCTTTGGACTGGGTTAGAAACAAAACAACTTACTGGTTTATAAAGAGCAGGTGGAGCTTTATTAGCTTTTTCTTGACATTATTTAGTTGGAATCTGTACAGAAGATGAAATAATCTGCAGTTTTTATTAACGAGCCCAACACGCATGGATTTTTCACGTCGCACCATGAAATGTGCAGCGCTGCCACTGAAACAGTTTGTTGGCAACACGAACAAACAGTACAGTTCATTTACACATATTTAAATAATAAATTAAATGTTTAAATAGGTTTAAAGCTCCGGTAAAATAGAATGAATAAATTGGACTAAAAACCACTGAATCTGAATTTAAAAGCCTGAGAGATGATATTAGAAATTATTATTTATGTTGTTTGTTCTCAAACAAACGGCCCGAACACCGAGAGAAATAATCAGCAAAGTTAAAACCGTCTGTTTGTTTGCTTAATAAAGTTATAATCACTATATCCTTTACTTTATCATAATACTGAAAATAATGTACAAGCTACCAACTCTGAGGCCAGTTGTTAGGCTTCGACTGATAAAAGTCTGATCTAGATTAAAAGCACCATTTGGTTGGCTGTGTGTTAATAAAGTCCAATAAAACTGTTTTTATGCAACAATTTCATTTTAAAGAGTCTCTGCAGAAGTTTGTCTCTTCTGTCGAGGCCGACATGAATATTTCTCACTTTAATGTGAATAAAATTGTACGAAGTGACAGTTGTTGATTCCTCTCGGATAAACCTTATATATGTATATATATAAATAAATTATAAATGTATTATTTATTTATTTATTATAAATAATAAAGTGCTTCCTCACAACAAGCCAGACCTCTGAACCCTTGAGCTCGTCATTACACCTCGGTCTGTTTCACCTCAGGTCTTTCTAGAGACATTTATGCGCTTATACTTTTTTTTTCTCACAAAACATGGTTATTTATTTTTATGTTATAAATAAAACTTTGAGCCGAAAGAAGAATTTAAAAAATGAATAAATCTTTGACTGTTACAAATGATGAAATGATAATCTCACGAAATGACTCCTAAGAGGGATAAGTTGTGGTAACAAAATGAAATGGTTAGAAGCTGTTTGAGGTGAGCTCACAGAGTTGGGTCATACGAGTACAGATCAGATGTAAATGTCCAACCTGCTCCTGCTTCCTCTGTCCTCCTCCTTTAACTGAACCTGATGGGAGCAGCGTGCTTTTCTCTGACAACTTTCCACGTTCAGCCCAGGATGCACAAACTAAACTTATCATTCAAACAAACAGAATATATATATATATATATATATATATATACATTTAGGAAAATGTTACTTTTCTCATATTGAAAAATTAAATTAGCATTTTGCAGCAGCTGTGGGATTAATTAGAGATCTATGGGGAGCCTCATTGGGCTGCAGGGGGGGCTGCCTCTGCAGCGTTTTCAAGTAAAACGTTCATTCTGATTTCTGCAGAAAATAACCACAGATTAGACATTCCTGTTGTTTAACAGACACAACAATCATAGGTGAGCTGTTTGCAGCACTTCAAGGCAGATTGTGTTTTACTGGACGGCTTCGTCCTCGGACCTCCTGCCCCATCAGCAGCTTCACTGACAGCAGGTCAACGTTGGATCAGATGAGGTTTAGAGGTGCAGAAGTGTGCAGATTAAAGGAGTTTAAATAACTGAATTGTTTAGAGGAAGCAGCTGCTCAGTCAGCTGGTGTGTGTTGGGATCTGGGCTGGTGGAGCTGGTTTGTATTCTTCAAATATAATCATTTCAGTTCTGATTATTTCTTTCGTCCTGTGTATGAAGGCAGCACAAGTGTTGCTTCTTCGTGAAGACATTCAGTCAAACCATGTGCTCCTTTTTTTCTGCCTCCTTTTGCATTAGTCACTGCTGCAGCATCCAAGAAATACTCTGGCTTCACGAGCTTCTACTTCAGCAGTTTGCTTTGTTTCACTTTGAACTTTGATGCAGCTGGGAGGGGTTTGTTGCAATGAGCATCCAAAAAATGGAAAGGTCTGATTGTTGTGACGCTCCGAGGGTTTTAGTCGTATTTCAGGGTTTGTGGCCAGGTTGTCCTCAGGCTGTTTCTGTGAGCAGCAGTTTGTCCGTCTGGCCTAAAACATTTGTTTGTTGTCCTGATGATCCGACGGTGACTCAGTCGGCCTCCAGATGGAGATAAGAGAACGTTTTGGGCATGTTCTCATGGCGACAACGCCAGTGAGGAACTGCAAGACAGCAAGCTGGCCTTCAGGCCGAGACGAGAGAATGTTTTAGACATGAGGAGAGAAACATGCTCTCAGCCGTCTCAGTCATAAACTAAAAATATTCATAGCAGAAATACTCTACCAGCTTCCAGCAATGTTCACCCAGGTCATCTGGACGGTTCCTGAGATGTTTTGTCCTTCGTCCAAAAGACTTCCTCAATCCAAGAAGCCACCAAACCAAACTGATTCCCACCAACAGCATGGTAGAGAAAACCAGTTTGCTGCTGCTAAGATGGCGTCTGGGGCCCGCCCTGTCCCTCGTCAACTCCTCTGAGACAGTCGTTCCAAAGTGGTTCATGTGCAATGATCTTGTAGATTAATAAAAAAATTACCAGTAATAATAATTTGTACTTTAACAGCTTCTGTCAGAAAAACACGGGTGATGTGCAGTAGCCTCCACATGAATTAATTTTAAATGAGTGACGTACTCTGATAAATGAAGTAATAACTTGTTATAAGTTTGTGTTTTGATAAGTCAGTGGTTCATGTTACTACATAATTTCTCCTCAGCATCATTAGCAGCGCTGACCCACACCTGGTTTTGATTCTTCTCCTCCACCTTGTTGCTCCGCAGACGTACATCGGCTCCATCCTGGCAGCAGTGAACCCCTACCAGCCGCTCCCCGGCCTGTACGACCGGCCGGCGGTGGAGCTGTACAGCCGCCACCACCTCGGTGAAATCACGCCGCACATCTTCGCCGTCGCTAACGAGTGCTACCGCTCGCTGTGGAAGAGGCAGCAGAACCAGTGCGTCCTGATCAGGTGCGTGCGCTCGTCCTGCGGGTCTCTGACCCATGTGTGTATTCAGATACGTGTTCCTGTCCGTTGCTGCTCTGTGAACTGTTTGATTGCTGCCTCACTCTGAGTCGAACCCTTTGAACCAGTTCACGTCTCCTGGACTCTTTGGCATCACCTCTGAAGATCTGAGCTCTGCATCTGTCCACATCTGTCCACATCCTTCCTCTCCAGCTGAACAACTTTCCCTTCCACTCTGGCTCCATTGTTTTATTAGACTTCAGAAGCATTGCTCCTATAAATACAGATGCATCAGAATATTTGGCTCCTGGTTTAGATTGTTGTGTTTAACGGGGACAAAATGGCCGTGGTGTTTATTTTTGTATCAAATAGTTATTAATGGAAAACTACACTTCCCCTGAAACATTGTTTTATCAGATGATTTGCCCGTCAGACTTTAATATGTCTGTGTGACATTATTTCCATGGTTCTTTCTTAATTATTTTTAATTTTTAACATCTCCTGCACTCTGTGCTCTTTTAGCCACCTTCAAAACATTTAGCTGTTTCAGGAGATGGGTGAGGTTTCTTCATGATTGATCTCTTTGAAATCTGCTCCTGTACAACAAAAAGGTTCAGTCGTGTCATCTGGACCAGTTTCTTCACAGTTTTTATATTTGATGCTACTTTCAGTTTATTATTTTACCTGTTGGAACGCTGACGGTCTCCGTCCAAACGTTCAGAAACTTTCTCTTTTCCCGCCCAGAACTTCTGATCCACTCAAGATAATTTAAGCAAACTTCATGCATGTACGCCTCATTTTAGCTAGTTTTAGCTAACGTTTAGCTTATTTTAGCATTTAGCTAGTGTTCTACTTATTTTAGCTTTTACAACTCCCTTCCAGCTTCTTCAGCTAATTCCAGCAGTCAGTGTATTTAACTCGATGGCCTCAGATTAGTCTTGTTTAATTAACTGTACACATTTAACTACATTTTAACTCAATGAACCAGCTCCACATCAGACACGTCTCGGATTCACTGAAACGTCCTGCTTCGACAGAAAGGGTGCCGCAAGACTGTGCACAGCTCAGATCTTCTGCTGCACACCTTTTCTGTGCTCTGACAGCTGATAGTAACTCTTTGAGGACCAGAAGATGACACTGACAGATTTGTAGCTGTTTGCAGCACATCTGGCGGCTCGCCCTCAGTCCAGCTGTGTGGTCCGGTCAAAAGGAGTGAACCGGCCTAATTTACCCAGAAAGTTGTGATTATCAGAAACGGTGGGGCCAAACAGCCTCCAGGGGTGAAACTCGATCCGTTCATTTTGTCTCGGCTCGCAGACTTGTCTCCTGAGATCCGGGGGGGGGGGGGGGGGGGGGCTGTGTGTGTTTTCACTTCTAGACACGGGAAAGGTTGATTCTAGATTGTTTCTGATAACGAGACCACTCTTTTTTGGAAAATGCATTTAGTCATGGATAAACATGAAGCTTGTGAGCTGTGGTGTGTCTGTGTGTGTGTGTGTGTGTGTGTAGGGGGGGGGTGGGGGGGGGGGTCTCAGTTTGCTGTTGCAGTTTCTAACTGTCTTTACTTTCCAGCCTCCTGCGGCCCAGTTAATGAGGCACATGTGGCCTCTTTAAAAAACAATCTAAATAAATTTTATTAGAAAGCAGAAAAATAAACAGCTGCTTTGCTTTTAATTGTAATAAATAAATCTTTTTAAAAAATCTCATTTTTGTTCCACTAACAAAACGATGATCACATTTGTGCCTAATTAATTTGTTCATGATCAAACTAACCTGTGAAGGAAGATTTTAGAGCATTAAAGGAATTTTGATGACATTTAGATTTTTGAGGGGGATTATCAAAACACACATTGTTGCCGAAGATCTTGAAATAATTTTAAGTTTATTTATAACCTGTCTGAATAAAGGTTGAATGAATTTAATTATCTTTTTTAGTCATCTGTCGGTGAGGACATTCGTTTGGTGTTGTAAAGAATACAGTCGAGAAAAGTTTTTATGTTGTGTAAAATAAAACGAAAACTGATCCGGAGGCGTTTTCAGCCTGGAGCTCATTCTGCAGAGTAGACCGAGCAGGAGGTCACAGGTGAACGAGCAGGAGGTCACGGGTGACCGAGCAGGAGGTCACGGGTGAACGAGCAGGAGGTCACGGGTG